TACTATTATCCTACCTATATCTTATTTGAAGTGAGTTTCATACAGATGACATATAGTTGGGTCCCTTTTTTTAATTGTCATAATCCATCTTAATCTATGTGTTGAGAACATATACATTTAGTGAAATTATTAACATGTTTGGATTTAGATCTAACATCGTTTGTTTTCTGTTTGTTCCCCCAGTATTTTGTTCCTTTGTTCCACCTTTTTTTCTTTTGGGCTATTTTAATTCACTATTGTGGTCTTTTGACTATTATCTCTGTACTTTTACATTCATTTTAATTCATCTATTGTGGTTTTTTGACTGTTAGCTCTGTACAGTTATTTTAGGGGTTTCTTTAAGAATTACAATATATGTAAATGTTTTACAGTCTACTTACAATTGGTATTTATACAAGTTCAAATGAAATGTAGAAATCCTATCACTATATAATGCCCATTTACTCTCCCCCCTTTATGTTGTAATCATATATTATGTCTACATAAATTAAAAATCTTATCAGACAAAATTATAATTCTTGTTTTCAAATGTTATATATTTTAAAGAACTAAAGAGAATATTTACCTAGATATGCACAATTACTGTTGCCCTTCCCTCATTCCTGATGCTGTAAATTTCCTTCTGATACCATTTTGCTTCTATGTGAAGAATTTCCCTTTAGAACAAGTTTACCGAAAATGAATTATTTCTTTCCTCATCTGAGAATGGTTTTTATTTTGCCTTCATGTATAAAGAGCATTTTTCTGAATATGGCAAAAATTTGGGTTGACAGTTCTTTCAGCACTTTAAAAGTATTCCACTTTCTACTGGCCTTCATTTCTGATAAGAAATCTACAATCATTCAAATTGGTGGTTATCTATCAGTAATATGTCATTTTTTCTCTGACTGTTTCCAAGATTTCCTTTTTGTCTTTAGTTTTCAAAAATTTGATTATAATGTGCCTTAGATCTCCTTGGATTTATCTTGTTTAGGGTTTCCTGAGGACTGAGAATGATGAGACAAGAAAGTTTCTTAGAAAGAAACAAAGTGTTGCATACTTGAAATTCATACATTTCATTCATACTATTATTAGTATATTTACTAGTATTTACTAGTATATGTAAGAATGTTATATATTCCTAAACCATAGAAAGTGGCAAGTATATTAAATCCACTTGGATATATTCAAAAAGTTCTTTATAAGTGGTTTTAGTTTTTCCTTCACCTTTATAATTTTTCCAGATTAGTTAATTTACAAATGAGACGTGAAATGAGCCAAATCCTCTGCTATCCGAGATAAATTTTCTCATCCATGTTTACTGTTGTGGCCATTTTTTCCCTACTAGAATGAGATGTTTCATGGAGTTTTTGGTGTCTGAGCTTTTATCTGGTGCTATCAAATAGCCAGTCTGATTGTGTCAGTTTTTATCAACATGGATCTTAACAATTCGATCATCGTGTGTTTCTTTTAGAATTTTACAGGCCAGATTTTGTGTATATCTGTGATGGAATCTTTGAACTTCTCTGTGGATTTGTGGTTATTTTATTGTTGTTTTATATATATGAGGCCTTTGCATAAGGACTTTTAGTCAAACCAATCTGTTTATAGTAATGTAAAGTATTTCTGTAGTGTCTATAGTATGGTATACTATTAATAGCTTGCATAGTGTTTCCACCTACTGTGTTTCTACCTTTATAATAGCAGTTATATTGGGTAGCATCAAGCAGTTAATGTATCTGTTGTTTTTTAAAGGATGTCTGAGGAACCTCTTTTCTTTGCAGCATTTCAGAGAGGTGAATTATTCTAAAAGCATACCAGCTATTAGTGTATATATTTACTTTTATTTTAGTAAGTTCCTCTATGTTAGAGGACCACAATCAAGTAATTTGATCAGTTTGAGTTTTGGTAAGAAATTGAGTTTTATCAGAGTGAACGACGTACCTGTTGCATATCAAGCCTGATATTGTCACTTTTTATTTTTAATATAAAACCTATTAACAAAACCTAAAGTCAGGATTTGGTATTAGAGAGTTCCAAAGTTTTGTTTGGGGCTTGGATACTTCTTGAATTATGGAAATACGATTGTGAGATTTTTCTTTCAGTAGGTAAAAGTTGCTGTATTAAGAGTAGTACATAAGTGGATGATAATATGAAAAGGAGAAAGTAACAATATTTCATAATTACTCAACTGGTAGAAAATTTAAGTGGTTTACTATGGCATTTTACTCTGTATGGTAACATCAGGTTCGAAGGCCTAGTGTAAGCCCTGAAGATGCTTTGACTAATTGAATTGATGTTTTTAAGTTTTAAAGCCTTAGCCACTGAATTAAGGTATAAGATTTAATAGGCAGAGGGTTTTCAGTGTCATGTTGAGTTAATACTCCCAGAACATGGTATACCATTTTCATACTCCAAAAAGAAAGATTTATGATTATCTAGGAAGACTATGCTGTCTACACTGAGGGCTCTAGTCCAATGAGTCTATCTATGTCCATGGATTCTTTTGCCCAGAGGATTCTGGAAGCATAGTTTTTTTTTTTTTCCTTTACTTATACAGAGTATAGGTATTCTCATATCTAGATCAGCTATCTGATCATATGTAGGAACCTTAGTGCATTTTATTTGGAAACAGATTCTATCTATTAAATTTGTAGATGTTGTATTTTAGCATATAAAGAAGTATTCTTCTGATAGTGATCCCAACGATGTCATTTATAGATTGGGACTTAGGATGATTAGAGATTTCTATGACTTTATCTTTTATTATTTTCTTTCACGATCTGTTACAACCATTTATTTTTACTTTAAGACTAATATTTTTTCTGATTTTTATGTTTTACTTATCATAAGTCAACTTACCCTCTCTTCTTTTCTTTTCTTTTCTTTTTTCTTTTCCCTTCCTCCCTCCCTCCCTTCCTTCCTTTTTGCTTTACAGACAACTTTCAAATTTTACTCTGAAGGATCCTAGTGTTCTATAGTAGTGGGATCAATGGGAGATATGGTAACACCTATGTAAATAAGAAAGTTGTATTATTGTCCATCTGCAATGTTAGATAATTCCCTTTGGAAGTTTAGGGAAAGTACAGGGCATTGTTGTATGCCAATGTTTCCTTCCAAGCATCATCTTTGGCTAGATTTTAGATAGTTGTTCTTTTGTGTTTTAGCAAGTATAGGACATTGGTTCCCTTAATGGCCTTTTTGCTTGTCATACTTTCAGGTACCCTTATTTAAACCTCTCAAATCTTTAAGACAAATATTTTGGTTGTTTCATCTAAAGACCCAGAAATTTTACTAATTTCCAACTTACTTAATTCTTAGAGCTCTCTGGAAATGTCTAGTCATATACTAGATATTTTCTAAATTGGCAGTTTTAATTTTAATTTACCTTGATTAAATCCTCTTATTTGGGTGTATACCTGTTTATAACAACAGGACAATATACCCTTTGCTGCATCTGTTGGGTATAACCAAGTATACTGTTTGAACATTTTTTAAAGTCTATTTTTTTTAATTTATAATTTTTAATCTTTCTTAAATATAGCTGTAAATGAAAAATCTTCTGAAATTGCCTGATGTATTTTTTGTTAATTTTATACAATTGAGTTATTTAAATCTTCTCTTTCTCCTTTGCTGCATTAGATCTGTAGTACAGGATAGTAGTATTTATTTAACAAAATCGTGAATTCTGTAGCAAATTTCTGTCTTCCTAAAACTGATGGAAATCCTTATATATAGCCCTTGACTTGGATCTATACCAGAGTTTCAATGTAACTTCTGTAGACCTGACTTCTGGCCTAGTAATTTATAGTGTGATTTTATTTTTTAAGAAAGCCCTGAAGAAAGGGTGGCTTATATAGAAGGTTAGGTAAAACTTAGTAGAAAGAGAAAAAAATTCAAGAAGGAGAAGTTTCAGAACATTATAAAGTTTTTGAAAGAGACTTTTAAAATTAAAATTTTATTTGAAGTCTCCACATTACCAATTCAAGAAGCAAGCCAGCATGGTGGCTCACTCATGTGATCCCAGCACTTTGGAAGGCTGAGGTGGGAGGATCACTTGAGGCCAGGAGTTCAAGGCCAGCCTAGGCTACATAGTGAGACCCCCATCTTTAAATTAGCTAGAAATAGTGGTGTGCGCCTATAGTCTCACTACTTGGGAGGCTGAGACAGGAGGGCTGCTTGAGCCTGGGAATTCGAGGTTACAGTGAGCTTTGATCAGGCCGCTGCACTCCAACCTGGGAGGCAGAACAAGACCCTATCTCTAAAAAAAAAAAGCTAGCTATTGACTTTTTCATGTTTTGTCTCCTAATTTTGTTTATCTCCTCTTGAACATATTACTTGCTGATTTTAACATATCAAAAGTTTCCCATAATAGCCAAATTTCTAAGTCAAAGCTTTTTTTTTTTTTTTTTGCACTTTACTAAGGAAAGTACAAGAGTTAAGATTATAATGTAACTGTGTATAAAAGCAGAAGTTCCTCCAAGAAGAGGTTGAGACTTTGACTTAGACATGTTGAGACTTGAGGTTGAGACTTTCACCATGACACAGAGGCCACTTTGGCTGGTCAGCAGTGTTTGTGAACAGTGTCTTAAGTAACCTCACCAAGCAGAGGCTAGGAAGGGTTCTTACAAATCATGACCCCAGAATACAGACCAGTGAACAAAGTGACCTTGCTCAAAAATTGACAAAGTAGGGAGCACCATCATGAAGGACATAATTTCTGTGTAATATAATGTTGTTTTCATTGGATATGTGCTTTTTTCCTGCCATAAATGCAGGATGTTTTAGATACATTCTAGTTATGTCTGCAAATCATTTGTGTTCTAATTTTTCTGAAATATTATAATTCACTTTAAAGCTTGTGCCATCCTAACAGAAGCAAAACCACAAGGTGTTCTTAGATGTTTTTTTACTCCCTAGACAATGTAACAAATGTGGCTTAAGAAACATGTTTGTGTTAACATGAAACCGAAATAAAGTGACATGCTTACTTTGAGTCTTGATTTTAATTTTAATTATAGATATTCCTTTAGAAATGAGTTGCACAATTGAGAAGGCACTTGCTGATGCTAAAGCTCTTGTTGAAAGATTGAGAGATCACGATGATGCAGCAGAATCTCTGATTGAGCAAACCACAGCTCTCAACAAGCGAGTAGAAGCCATGAAGCAGGTTTGATTTTTCTTTCTTGTCGATTCCATTAACAAAAGCAGTCACTGACAATCATAAATTGCTGCCTAGTTAGTCTAATTTTTTTCAATGTTCTTTAAAATTTTAAAGTAGCTTGACTTATATGTTTCAGTTTTGTTTAATTTTGTCATGTTCAGGTGACATATATATGTATATATATTCTAAAACTTGTAGATTTGATCACTTATTTTTCTGACAGAGTTGCACAATGGAGTTTAGAAAATAAAATAATTTGTTAAGACTGAATAGATTTGACAAAGACCATACTAATATTGACACACATTTTGCTCTGTCTTATGTAATGTAAAAATGTTCATATTTTTCTTTATGAAAGTACTTGGTGATGCTATTTAACAACAAAATAGCTTTTGAAAATGATGCAAGGCAAAATCTAGTTTACACATCAGTTACTGCACTTATACTTGCTACCTCGTTTTTCATTTAATGCTGCCAATTAAAGAAGAAATTAAAAGGGCTTCACTTCTTGCTATCCTTCCTGTTGTATGACAGAATCTTCCAGTGGGCCATTAGTTTAGCTACCGTGTTAAACTCTGATAAAAATATTCAACTCTTTTAAGAGAATTATAAAATAACTGATATTATGATGGAAATCAGAGGGGGAAAAATGTGTATTCACAGCCAGCTCTCTTGAAACTCATTCATTTTGTACAAGGAAGCAACCCTGGGATAATGCTTTTAGCAAAGCTACTGGAAACAATGGAGCAAATTTACTTATTTTGTTTTGCAACTGCGTTTTGCAACAGATTACTTCCATCCCTAATTGTCCAGCTAGACTTAGGCACTCCAATAAACATATGCCTAATACTGAGTTGTAAAAAAAGGAGTTTGACATCTTAAATTAAGAACCAGGAGTATTATAACGAATGCATTACTAAGTGTCTCATAAGAATGCCTTGAAAATAAATGAGTGCTATTTTAAAATTAGATTCTTATTTTTAAATGCAAAACTTTTTGCATATATTTTGCATATGTTCTATTATTATTGAAATATAATTTTCATACCATAAAATTCACCCTTTTGAAGGGTACATATTAATACAATTCATTCCATTTTAATATATTCACAGATTGTTCAACTGTAACCACTAATTCCAGAAAATTTTCATCACCCCCAAAATCTTATATCCATTAGCAGTTTCATCCTAGTTTCCCCTTCTCCCAGTCACTGACAACCACTAATCTTTTTTTCTCTATGGATTTCTCTCCCTATTTCAGACATTTTGTATGAATGGAGTGATATAACATGTGGCTTTTTGTGGGTGGCTTCTTAACATATTTTTAAGGTTCAGCTATGTTGTAGCATGTATCAGTACTTCATTCCTGTTTTTTGCCAAATATTGCATTGTAAGGGTACAGCATATTGTTTATCCATTCGTCAGTTGACTGGTGTTTGAATTATTCCACTTTTGGGCTGTTAAGAATAATGCTGCTATGAATATTTGTGTGCAAGTTGATGTGTGGACATGTTTTCAGTTTTCTTGGGTATATACCTAGGAGTAGAATGGATGGGTCATGTAATAACTCTATGTTTAACATTTTGGGGATCTGCCAGATTGTTTCTCAAAGGAGCTATACCATCTTGCTCTGTCGCCCAGGCTGGAGTTCAATGGCACAGTCATAGCTCACTGCAGCCTGGAACTTCTAGGCTCAAGCAATCATTTCACCCTTTTTGATTACAATTGTCCTAGTGATTGTGAAATGGTACTTGTATTGAATCGCATTTCCCTAATGACTAATGATGTTAAGCATCTTTTCATGTGCTTATCGAGCATTTGTATATTTTCTTTCGAGAACTGTCTATTCAAATCATTTGCCAATTTTTTATTGGGTTATTTTTATTGTTGAGGTGTAAGGGTTCTTTATATATTCTGGATACTAGATGCTTATGTGATATTTACTTATTTATTTATATATCGGATATGTATATTTATGTATCAGATAGATATTTGCAAATATTTTCTCCCCACTTAAAAAATTTTTTTTTTTCATTAGTATCAGGAAGAAATTCAAGAACTTAATGAAGTCGCAAGACATCGGCCACGGTCCACATTAGTCATGGGAATCCAGCAAGAAAACAGACAAATCAGAGAATTGCAACAAGAGAATAAAGGCAAAATATATTACTACTACTATGTATTAATATGTATGGCAAATGAAAAGAGAACTTTAATCTGCAATTATAATGTTGATTTGGGCCCACTTAATATTTTGAAAAATGTGGAAACAGCCAACTAAAGTTACTTTTTGACATTAATCCCATTTCTAGTCCATATACCTAAATCATATTTATTGCTTTTTATCCTGTCCCATATATGAATGTCTACCTCGTGTGGAATCCTCTTAGATTCTTGCCCTCAACATCCAGTTTGCGCCGTTGTTGTTACCTATGAAATAACTCAGCTTTGTTCTCTGTAGCCTACTGCATTGGACCCCGGCTTAGGTGTTCATAGTCTCCTGCCTGAACTGTCCTCACTGCTCTCCCTGATTCCAGCCTCTTTTTCCCCTCCAGTCTATCTTCAACATAAACATCAGTTTGATTTTTCAGAAACAAAACTGATCATGTTATTCTTTTGCTTAAGGACTTTCATTGTATCCTTATTTCCTTATACAAGGATCCTCAAAGTCAATTTTTAGCCTTCTTTTCTAACTTTTTACCACAGCTCTCTTCACCTCGAACCCTTTGCTCTTCCCATCCCATACCAGTTCCTAAACACATCATCCACGGTCGTGCCTCCCTGCTTAGACTGCCCATTCCTTCATTTCTCAGCTGAAGGAATTCAAGTTCATTTCAATACTATAGTTCTGTGAAGCTTCTACCAGTTTCTCCCCACAGACTTTTCTTAAATGTATTTGACTAGTGCTCCACTCTGTACTTACCACATATTTGTTTTCTCCACTAGACACTGAGCTCTATGGTCTTTTTATATTCTTAATGTAGAGAGCATTGTCTGATATTTAGTTGCTGTTCAGTATATGTTTGTTGAAATGATTCTCAAAAATACAAGTTTAAAGTGCTCATTTAAAAAATTTAATAGGGGACTTCATTTGGTGCCTTTTATTATTATATGGCTAGATTTTTACATATCATGCTTTCTTTTGAAAATGTCCTATTTATCAGTTGCTTTTTTTGATAAATGTAATATGGAAGAGAATACTTTATGTTCCTTCAACTCAAGTTTGAATAAAATACACTGTTATTCTTGATAGAATTGCGTACATCCCTGGAAGAACATCAGTCTGCCTTGGAACTTATAATGAGCAAGTATCGAGAACAAATGTTTAGATTGCTAATGGCTAGCAAAAAAGATGATCCGGGTATAATAATGAAGTTAAAAGAACAGCACTCCAAGGTAATACATTCTGTAAATATGACTTGAAATGGAAAAGAAGGGTGAATGGTTGTGTTCAGATTTAAAAAACAAATCACAAGTATATAGTAATGCCATTTTAACATGATGTTGATTGTTTCATCTTTTAAATTGACATTTTTGCTTTTCCTTATTTTTTCATTTCTTATTATGTAACATTTTCTGTTTGATTTATTCGTTTAACTCCCATTGTTTCTTAGTAACGTTAATGCATATATTCAAAAATAAACTTTATTTTAGAAATAAAGGTAAGTATTCAATTCAAAATTATTTTTATAAGGTTATCTGCTTTTAAGAAATATTTCCAATAAATTTGTATATTGACTTCTGTTACAAAAAGAAAAATTGAAATGCTGAAAACTTCTTTTTAAATCTGAAAGCAGTTTAATATAGATTTGTTTTTTCTTAAGTCTATATTCCAAATGAGGCTAATTCAGACTATAAATGATCCTGATTGTAATGGAAAAACCATGGGGTTAAGAAGAAAAGAACCAACATACTAAAATTTTGCTCTCCTCCCCTCCAAATATTACATACCAATTGACATAATTTTTACAGACAAGGTGAAAGTGGTTAGAAATTAGTGTTTTTCCTGCTATTCATCTTACTTATTGTCATTTCTGTGTCTGTTCCCTTTGGTATGTCCCCATATGTGCTGGCAACTGCTATGAAGACAAGTGGAATAATCCTTTCTCATTTATATTTTATTTTAAACTTAACTCCTGGTGTGAAATAAAAATATTATACTAGATTGTAATAACTAGGGCATTATCTATATTGGATAATGGTGAGCTAACTATTATTAGTTATTACTAATATTTAGTGATTGTTATAAGACTTTTTTATCTTTCTCAATTATTGAAACAATTTAGATTTTTAAAAATATTTCTTCCATTTTTGTGCATTTAGGTCTTTTAAAATTATTATTAATTCTCTTAGAATTATTAATTCTCTTAGAATTAAATACCTAGTAAATAGGTCTTTGCATGACAACTTTATATATTAGGGAACTTAAAAATAAGTACCTTTTTGTGTGAACTAGTAAAATAATAAATTAATAAATTTGGGTTTAATATTATCTGATTATGTTATTCATCTCCTAACCAAATGGAAATTCAGGAATATTTAAGTGGCAATCTTTTGAAGATGGAAAATATCTATTGTTAATGAGACCATTATAAAATCTTTTGAATTTAAAGATATAACTAAGAGTGTTTTTAAAGGTACAAAGAGGAATTGGCTTATTCAAATTATTGGTAAGATAAATGTAATCTTGAGAAATTCCAAAAGGTTAGTGTATTTTATAATCTAAAAAAATAAAATTTTGAAGATCTAGAGGAAAGAATACTATGACAAAAAAATGGTTAGGATAAGACTGCAGCTTGTTGGTCCTATCTGGTAGCAACTATGACAGAAGCAAATGTTTTCTAAAACACGTTAGATTTTACCAGAGCTGGTTTATTAATTAGCAAAGTTAAACATTTCCTAAGATAGCTATAAACCATCCTTTTTCATTATGTAGATTGAATTCTTCATCTAAGTGCTGATGAGCCTTGCCTTCCATAAAATGACTATTCAGTTACTTGTTATTAATTCTAACTAATACATATTAATGTTTGTGATTTTGATTTTTCCCAAAAAGGAGAACTTCGACTCAGTTAACACTTGCACTGGGTTAATTGTGGGAAATAATAAGATGAATGAATGAATAAGTTACATTACCATATGAGCTTGCAGTGTAATGGGAGTTACGGACACAAATATAACCATCTAATGTAAGGTAGGGTGTGATGAATCCTAAAATAGAGATATGAATTGTTACAGGAATACTAGAGGAATCTGTGTTAGTTCTCATGAGGAAAGTCTGGAAAGGTGTCAAGGAAAGGAAGAAAATCCATCTAAATCCAACCGTGAATTAATTACAGGGGGTTCAATAAGCAGAAGCAGGTGAGCAGAGAAACTTACAAAGGCACAAAAGTATGGGATTCTAGGATGTATTTAGGTACTAGTGCTCTGATATCCCTAAACACAAAAATAATTCTATAACATGTTTAGGGGTAACAAGTAGAGTTACACATAGCAGCATTTTGGAATAAGAGACCCTTCTTGAGACCATTGTAATATAGAATTTTGCCCTCACTGGAAGTTTTTGAGTACACATTTAAAAATAAATAGAAAATACATATTTTCATCCAAATATGTATTTTTACATATTTTTGAACAGATGCCTTTTTGGAAATCTTAAAAAAACAAACATTTTAAACAGTTGGCTAACACGCATGAACTAACACTCATTCAGTTTTTAAATTACGGATAATATCCGTATTAACATTATAATGACTCTGTACTACAGATTGACATGGTACTTCGTAACAACTCCGAAGGATTCTTCTTTGATGCATCTCGACACATCCTTGAAGCACCTCAACATGGACTGGAGAGGAGGCACTTGGAAGCAAATCAGAATGTACACTAAATAAACAGTCAACTTTTGGGGTGTGGATGGAAGGGGGGGTCCATTTAAAAAGTTCTTTTACATTGAATTTCCCTCCCAGATTAGATCAGCAAATAAATGAAATCAAAGAGTGCTATACCTTTGATAGCCATGCTATTCATGTATCAACTTTAAATCTGTCGTTAATTCTCTGCATTGTCTTATACACAGCCGGTTAGATATTTGCAGGTTTTAAAGATTAGCCCAGCTTTTCATTTATTTGCTCGTTAGGTGTTGCTACGATTTTTGTTGCTGCAGAACAGTCATTCTCTTTCTGTACATCAAAGAAATTTTCTTGACATTAATTTTAACCTGATTTCATAAAAATTTTGGTCAAAGTATTAAACGAAATGTTTTAATTCAGATTTTTGATGGTTTGTAGTCCTTTATTTTAAGTTCACAAATAAAATAAAAATGCCTTTGTTTAGATACAAGGATTTAGTAGTGCTCCCACCATTGTGTCTTAACTGTCTTTTTTTTTTAAACTCAGTTGTGGCAGGTCTGTTTTGAGTAAAGTAGGAATAAACCTAGACAAAAGTTAGAAATGAAAGGCATTGCAAAACAGTCCAAGGGTTATGTTGGTGACACTTCTTCCCTTCAAGACAGTTTTGAAAGCACAAGTCTTGCCTCTTGGGCCCATTAAAAGGTCTGTGATACTTCTCTAAAGATTTTATAGTTAAGTGAACTGTTAACTGGGCCTATAAAAATACTATTCTGGGCCGGGCGCTGTGGCTCACGCCTGTAATCCTAGCTCTCTGGGAGGCCGAGACGGGCGGATCGTTTGAGCTCAGGAGTTCGAGACCAGCCTGAGCAAGAGCGAGACCCCCGTCTCTACTAAAATTAGAAAGAAATTAATCAGACAACTAAAAATACATAGAAAAAAATTAGCCGGGCATGGTGGCGCATGCCTGTAGTCCCAGCTACTCGGGAGGCTGAGGCAGAAGGATCGCTTGAGCCCAGGAGTTTGAGGTTGCTGTGAGCTAGGATGACGCCACGGCACTCTAGCCGGGGCAACACAGTGAGACTCTGTCTTAAAAAAAAAAAAAAAAATACTGTTCTGTTTGAAGTATGGGGCTTCTTCCTGTGATCTTTTTTTTTTTAATTTTTTTTTTTTTTATTTGAGATGGGATCTCGCTCTTGCTTAGGCTGGTCTCGAACTCCTGAGCTCAAACGATCCTCCCGCCTCGGCCTCCCAGAGTGCTAGGATTATAGGTGTGAGCCACCGTACCCAGCTGTTCCTGTGATCTTGTTGGAAGACTCTGTCTTGAAAAAATTAGTAGTGTCTTTTTTTCTTCTATTTTAAAGGCAAAGAAACACTTGCTTCCTTTGTAGTTTCTAGCCTACATCAGTGCAATTGGACTGACTAAATCATAAATTGAGAAAGTTGTTGGTATTCAAAATTCTTACTTATTATCCTTATTCAATTCGCTGCTGCAGTTACCTGTACTTACTTGCTTTTAATCATTATGCACCCTTTATAATGGGAAGAGTTTTAATGATTTTTTAACTCTTGCAGACTATGACAAATATTTGTCTTAATACAATTCTTGCTACTATAATCTAATGCAGGGTTGTCCAATAGAACTTTCTGAAATGATCTTTATCTGTGCTGTACAATGTGGAAGTCACTAGCCACATGTGACTGTTGAGCATTGACAATGTCACTGGTGCAATCGAGGGACTGAATTATTAATTTCTAAAAATACGTCACACAGTGCAGATTAGTCTTTTATTGTACCTTCTTGTCGAGTACTAGTATAGGTTTTCCCATTAAGATAATATAAGGACCTTCATTTTTGTTGGTTAAGAAATTATTAAATGTGGTATGCCAAAGATGTTCCTATTTTTTTCTCTATGATTTCTTCCAGTTTACTAGTTCTGTGGGATTTGAAGGGTTCTGTTCAAATCTTTTTTACAGAGAAAAATTATAACTATTTAAGAGACTTAATGTTTATTTGGGGAGTTGTTCACTTTTATATTTAAGTTGTGGCCTTAATGTAATAAAATAACACTTAATTGCCAGTGAATAATGGTCTATAGAAGCTATTTATTAAGAAAATGATTATTCTCAAGTTTGTATTGATTTTAAACCTTTTTTGTCTGTCTCTTTCACTAAACTGTAAGCTCCTTCAGATCAGGGAACATATCTTAATAGGCTTCGTATTCCTGTTGCCTAACAGTGCCTGGCACAGCATAGATGTGCAAAAAATAAGGGAATGAGATTGGAAGAATTTGGGCTACTTATGTCTAAAATATATGGATGTCTAAATTATACTGAAATTACATTTTCATCATTTGGCAAAGAAAGCCATTTAATATTTTAATACTTAAAAGAATTCTCTTCATTTTACTTGGTATCTATTATGTACATACACTAAATAATAGGCAGATATAAATAAGATACAGTTCCACTTTCAGGGAGGATTATGATCTAGAAAAGGTTAAAGACTAGCTTGAGATCAATTTACAGGCATGGATAATACAAAAAAGATTTGTAAATTATGAAGACTTCAGGGAGGAAAAAAGATTGAATGTCAATAATTTTTATCTTTCCCATTACTTTGACCAATAGTATATATGTAGGCGCAAAAAAGAAAAAGTTGTTGATCATTGTGATGAGAAGAATGTGAACTATGAATACCTTTTGTGCTACTAGGTTTAGTTATATTGTGCTGCTTAGTTTTAATTCTAGTCCTAACAAATCTGATTTTAAAAGCACATTTATGATCAACCAACTTTATTGTGAATATCTGTTTGATATATTACATCCGTGTTAAGTGACACTGCAGATTTTATAAAAAGGAGAGGATCCAAAAATAAAAATAATAAAGTATTTGCCTGATTTCCAACTCCCATCTCTTTTTTTTTTAGGAACTACAAGCACATGTTGACCAGATAACTGAAATGGCGGCAGTAATGAGGAAAGCCATTGAAATTGATGAGCAGCAGGGTTGCAAGGAACAAGAACGGATATTTCAACTTGAAGTAAGCTTTAAATTGCAAATATAGGTGAAAACTGTCCATACAAAGATTTGTGCCAGAAAATATATCCCATTTTTATATATATACATATATATATATACACACACACACATATATGTACTTTTCTGGGGTACCGATGTTCTTTTTCTTCTGGATGCTGGTTATATGGGTGTATGATACAAGACCATTTATATAGTAATGCAGGAATCCAGGATAATTACTTATACTAGTAATTGAGGACATTGATTTTTGATCCTATCTTATCTCACTAGGTGAATATACTTCTTCAATTGAGTAATTTTAAAAAATTTGTTCATTCTATTAGAGATCATGGTGATGCAGGGAAATTTTTTTTTAATCCACAAATATTTGGAGGGGAACTTATTTTTCGGGGAACTGTAAAAGCCTTTGTGTTATCTGTCCTTTATGTTGCGGTAGCGAAAGTACATGTCATTATTGAATAACTCAAATCAATAGAAGAGAGTTTTATACTTTTATATACTTTTATACTGTTAAGCTTCATTTTGAAATCTTGGTGCGGAAATTGGTAATAGAGGGCCAAAAATTAACTCTCTGTCTGAGCATAAGTGTTCTCCCATTCATATAACAGGAGTTGGCAAACTTTTTCAGTAAAGATCCAGAGAGTAAATATTTTAGACTTTTCAAACTAAACTGTTTGTACCTACTCAGCTTTGTCATTGTAATTGAAAAGCAGCCATTTAGATTTGTCTATGTTCCAATACAATTTAATTTACAAAAACAGTCCTCAGGCCAAGCCATAGTTTGCTAATCCCCACTTTATACCATTGAAATTTAGGTGCCACTGAAGAATAAATTATGAGAGATTAGTTTTATCTTTTTTTAAAATTTTTACTTTTTAGAGACAGGATCTCGATCTATTGCCCAGAGTAGAGTGGCACGATCATAGCTGACTGCAGCCTTGAACTCCTGGGCTAAAGCAATTCCCTTGCTTCAGCCTCTTGAGTAGCTAGGAGTACAGATGTACACCACCAAGCTCAGCTAATTTTTCTTGTTGTAGTGAGGGAGGTATCACTACATTGCCCAGGCTGGTCTTGAACTCTTGGCGTCAAACAGTCCTCCAGCCTCAGCCTCCCAAAGTGTTGGGACTACAGGTGTGAGCCACTGCACCAGGCTGACAGATTATTTTTAAGTGTCTAGAAGTTTCTTACAGTAACTAATCTGGGGGGGGGGGAGGCAAAGTTATTTACAAAGTCAGATTTAGTCACTTATTTTCTTTTTTGAAAAATAACATCTACTTTACCAACCCTACTGCTCTCATATTCCAGTGAGGAAAGCAAACCGGATGGCTTGTCCTACATTCCATTCTATAATGGAAAGTAATAAAAGCACTAAGAGGTTCTAGTCCCTGGGTATTTATTATTCACTGGCTTTATGAGTCTATATAAATATAAATCTAGATGTTATTCATCTCTAATGTGATTATAAAATAAGGCAATTTCTGAGTTTCTATCTATAATTACAGCTGTTTACCTAAGAAAGCTTTGTAGTGGTAGAAGATATTAAACATATTATTCCTGTCTCTTTAAAAGTGTTCTTTATATTCAAATTGTTAACTACATGAATCATTTAGTACATTTATGCCAATTATAGAACTTGCTTTTTATTTGTTATACCGTTCTGTGTTTGGCTTTTCTTAATATATGTTTGGGCCAGGTTCAGTGGCTCACACCTGAAATCCCAGCACTTTGGGAGGCCAAGGCGGGAGGATCACTTGAGGCCAGGAACTTGAGACCAGCCTGAGCAACATAGCAAGATTCCCTTGCTACAAAAAATAAAAAGTTATGTGGGTGTGTTGGTACATGTCTTTAGTCCCAGCTGCTTGGGAGGCTGAGGCAGGAGGATCACTGGAGCCCAGGAGTTCAAGGCTGCAAGGCTGCAGTGAGCTATGATCATGCCACTGTGCTCTAGCCTTGGTGACAGAATAAGACCCTGTCTCTAAAAAAGTGTGTGTGTATGTGTGTGTGTGTATTCTTGTAGCTACTTTGTAGATGATGACTGTATCTTTGTTTTTGCTTGCCTTCTTATAGCAAGAAAACAGAGGCTTGAGGGAGATCCTTCAAATAACTCGAGAATCATTTTTGAACCTTAGGAAAGATGATGCATCGGAAAGTACTTCTTTATCAGCATTAGTGACCAGTAGTGACCTGAGTCTGAGGAAAAGCTGAAGAGCTTCCAAGTCTTAAATGGCTCCAAATGGTCACTAGGACTGGCCTATAAGTCAATGAATGAATGAACAAAAAACTCAATCTCAACCCTTTATTTTTGTTCTCTGTAATATGTACAGTGCACTAGCTATGAGATAGCAACAAAAAATGCATAGTTAATGGTCATAGACTTTATTCCAAAACATAATTGAAAAATAGAAACTGAGCCATTGTTAATTGGTGAACAAATAGAAAGGCTTTTGCAGTGACTGCTGAACATACAAAGAGCTTTCAGCAGTGCTGCTGGCTTTCTGGATAATACTTAAATAAATTGAGTATTCCCAATGTTTGGGAATTCATAGACTTATGTCACTTTAAAAATATAAATTTTTGCCACTGTTTTGTGAATAGAAGATTTTCATATTAAATTTTATCCTTCCTGTTTGGTGTCAGAGTTAACAAATAGCTTATGTACCATGAAACTTCAGCTTTAGTGATTGCCTGTCTACTTTTCCATTAACTTAAATTGTTGTCAAAGAAAACTCAGTTTTAAAGGCTGTACGAATGTTTTATATGCAGCATAAACAAAAGAAGTAATTTAATTTTAGCTAATTTACCTTAACTGATACTTAGCTAACAATTGTCCACAACTTGCTTATGTGTATGAAATATTATTTCAGGAATGAAAGAGAAGGAATACTACTTTCTAAGAAAGAAAATCTTATAATAGACATTTGGTAGGTTAAACTACTCTTTTGAAAGAATAAATTTTGGTTCTAATTCAGTAATGAAGATGAGATTTTTTCTCTTCTCTGGTGGATCTTTAAGGATATTATGTAGTTTATTTAGCTAACAGAGTTGAGATGTTTGATATAGCAAGATAGGTATGGTAATTTCAGAGTAAATTGGGAATTCCTTTGGCTCATAGAACTCTTTTTTTTAAGTAATTACTCTTGAGGTACAGAAAAAGTAAATTAAAATTTAAAAAAAAAAAATTCCAGATCTATTTTTAAGCTCCATCTTGTCCTCATAACCTGTAAGATTTTTCTTATAACCTTGCAGTTGAAAGAGGGAGAAAAATCTATTGATTTAGAAGTATTTGTTTTCTTTTTGTAAAAAAAAATCAAATATACAGTATGTAAATTTTTTTAAAGACCACCAGATACAGAAATGTGCTTTAACATCAATTGAAAGCTAAATTTTTCTTACGTTGTGGGGATTATAGAATAAAAGAGTATCAAATATAATTAAATATATTATACTTATTTATAATAAATATGTTAGAAAATACCACTTTTGAGTATATGATTTGTTAAAAAATATTACTTCACATTGTAATTTTTATGTATAATTTCATATATTGGTAAAATTCAAAACTACTTTTCACTTTAGAATTTTTCTATCATAAGTTTGTGGTGAATGGGGTAGATGGGGCTGATTGAAAAGGGCTAATGGCCCAAACATTAAGTAGATTTCTTTTCTCATTCTGAGGCCTTAATTAATATTTTATAAATAAATGACAGTTTTTATTTTTAAGCTTTTCTATTGATTTTTTGGAAAGTATCCCTTAATTTAATGGCACATTCATTCAAATTGTTTTTATCCCAGGTAAGAATTACAGAAAATAAGCTACACGATTGAGATTAAGTCTGAGGCAATTCATTGAGGCAGCTCTATTATAAAACATTACTTGATAAATAATTATTTTTGTAAATAAATAAGTTGAGTTATTTATTCTTGGTCTTTTTGCTTGGATGTAATTTTAAGATCTCAGTGTTAAAGACATTTACTTTGTTTTCCATCCCATACTTTTTTTGTTGTGAAACAGGACCTTAAATTTATGTCTGAAAGTATGTACTGCATAGGAGCCTATTTTGTCAATAAAGATGAGTGATTAAAATTGATATGGTCTCCTAATTGAAAATAGTGCTTACATTTATTCTTACATATAGTTTATTTTTAAGGTCTTTTGTCTCTTCTTACCATAAAACTAGTACTTAGCAACATCTATCTATATTTCTTTGGAATTGGCCAGAAACTTCTTAGTACTGATCCTGCAAACCTTATCATCTGTAATGGGTTGAATAGTGTCTCCCCAAAAGGTAAGTCCAAGTCCTAACCGCTATATCTGGGAATGTAATCATATTTCAGAATAAGGGTCTTTACAGGTGTAATTAAGGACGTGAGTATAAGATCACCCTGGCTTTAGGGTGGGCCCTAAATCCAATGACTAGTGTGCTTATAAGAGAGATTTGAAACACAGACTTAGAAAGCCACATGAAGACAGACTCAGAGTTATACAAACCAAGGAACCCCCAGGATTGCTAGGAACCACCAGAAACTAGGAGAGAGACATGGAATGGATTCTCCGTCAGCCTCCAGAAAGGACCAACCCTGCTGGATTTCAGACTTCTGCCCTCCCGAACTGTGAGAAAATAAATTTCTGTTGTTTTTATCCAGCCAGGCTGTCATAATTTGTTACAGCAGCCCTAGAAAACTAATATATCATCTATTATTTATCATCCATCAACTATATTTTATATAAAGAATACAGTTCTAAGAAGCCAATTATATACAACCTCACAGGTAAAATACTTTCTCCTCACATTTATCCTCTTTGATATTCTTTATTATTAAGGTGACTTCCAAAATTGTATATTTCTAAACTACTTTGATGAATAATGGAATATCATAGGGTGGTCACTACTACCCCTGTTTCTGATTTACAGTGAAACAGGAAAACCTTTTTTAGTAAAATATTGATGGAGACAATTTCAAATTGTATTTGAGGGGACATTTCCCTTTTACCTCATTGGCTGGTCCTTCTCAGTCTCCTTTATTCCTCTCTTCTCTCTGGCCTCTCAACAGTAGAGAGCCAGCAGCCTCAGTCCTTACTCCTACACTGTACATTTACCCACTTCTTTGGTGATCTCACCCAGTCTCATGGCTTTAAATATTAAGGTTATTAAGTATGGAATGTCTGATTTCCTTAAGTACTAAATTTGGCAGCTTATATCTCTGACATTTCACTTTGACACTTCTTGGTATTTTGTTGTTGTTGTTGTTGTTGTGAAGGTACATCCTCATTCTTTCTGACACACATTTTGGCTTGTGATAATCTTTCAAATTGTTTTTTTAGAGCAATTTTTGTGAAACCATGGGTAAGTCAAAAATTCCTGTTATTTTCGAATATGAGTTCTGTCATGAAACCAATGCAGCATGGACAGCTCAAAATCTCAACGAAATGTTTGGGAAGGATGTGGCTAATGAACGCACAGGACTTTGATGGTTTGAGAAGTTCCATTCTGGTGATTTTAATCTTGAAAATGAGCCATGTGGGTGCCCTGAGACCAAGGTGGATAATGATGAGCTGAAAGCTGTAGTGAAAGCGAATCCATCTCAACCTAAGTGTGAATTAGCAGCAAGATTTGACGTTACTATTCCAACAATATTGGACTATTTGAAACAAATCAGCAAGGTGAAGAAGCTGTATAGATGGGTTCCACATGAGTTAAATTGAGAAATTATCTTGAAGGTTGCCTTTCTTTGCTGTCACAACATAAAAGTGAACCATTTCTACACTGTATCGTTACATGTGATGAAAAATGGATTCTTTTTGACAGTCATAAGTATTGGGCACAATGACTGGAAAAAGAGGAATGCCGAAATACAGTCCAAAACCGAATATTCATCCAAAAAAGCTAATGGTGTCTGGTGGTCCAGCACTGGTATTATCCACTATAGCTTCATGAAACTTGGTCAATTGATTACAGCAGATGTCTACTATAATTAATTGGATGAAATGATGAGGATACTTGTGATTAAGCAGCCGAGATTGGTCAACGGAGACAGGCCAATCCTCTTACAAGACCACATGTCACAAAAAACAATGCTGCTCAAACTACAGAAGGTGGACTTGGAAACTCTGTCATCCACCGTATGTATTCACCAGGCCTTGCACCAACTGACTACCACTTCTTCCAGGCTTTGGACCACTTATTGCAAAGAAAAATATTCAATTCTCAACAAGTTGTGGAAAACATCTTTCACAATTTCATCACCACTTGCTCTCCAGGCTTCTTCACTGCTGGCATAAGCAAGGTACAGCAAAGATGGCAAAACTGTGTTGATAGTTTAGGCAAATACTTTGATTAATCGTACTGCTTCTTGTTTGATACATAACAAACTAAACTTTTGATTCGAAATCAGACATTTCATATTTAATGACCTAATAGCACCTGTATTTTGGATGACTCCCAAATTTACAGCTCTTGTAAACCTCTCATTAACTCCAGACTCATGCAACTGTGACTGTCAAAGAGACATTTCAAGCTTAAGCTGTCCAAAGGCCAAGCTCCTCGCCTTGCCCCCAGAACCTCTATACACTTCCCCATCTCAGCTGATAACAACTCCATCTTTCTAGCTGCTAAGGCCAAAAACAGTGGCATCTTTGACTCCACTTTCTTTTATATCTTGTATCCAGTTCATTATCAAATCCTGTTGGCTCTCCCTTCCAAATATATCAGAATCCTACCATTTCTCACCACTGCTACCTCTGGTCAAAGTCACATTATGGTAGTGTTAGAGTGGACAATTACAGTCAATCTAAATACCCTACAGTAGGCCAATAGTTAAGTAAATTATTCATATCAGTCCAGTTATATTCTGTGGCTTGAGGATTCTAGCAACAGGAGGAAAAATACACAAATTTGCGTAAAAAAATTAAAAAGTTAATGTTAAAATACATAATTACAACTATGTAAAAGTCAGATGCATAGGAGAAAATGTCCAGAAGCAAATAACATCAGTATACGTCTACCTAATTCTGTTGTTTAGACTAACCAGTTCTGTTACCTGCAAACCAAAGCATTTTGTATCTACCATTGTATAAATGTAATTTATGCATCTATTTCCCCTATTGGATTTTCAGATTGTAAAATTATTTAACATAAAATAATGCTGCAGTAAACATCCATACACATACCTTCATGTACTGTCATTTCTAGTGTATAAATTCCCAGAAGTAGTTTGTTAGATCATGTTCATTTTTGTTATCATTTATCTTGTAAATAGAAAATAAATGTACATGTTTAAAAATCTAGTATATCAGCACTCTGGGAGGCCGAGGTGGGAGGATTGCTTGAGCTCAGGAGTTCGAGACTTGCCTGAGCAGGAGTGAGGCCCCATCTCTACCCAAAAAAAAGGGAAAAAAAAAAACCTAGCCGGCATTGCGGTGAGAGC